GAGTGTGTGTGGGCTCTTCCCTGTGCCTGGGCACTTGGAGGAGAGCTTGGGATGGGGTTTGGGAGGCTTGGCTGGAGGACAGGCAGGCTCAGTGAATGCTCACAATGGTGACAACTTTGGTTTGTGACAGGGTGGAGGGGAAAGAAACCCACCAGCCCCTGCAGCCAGTATACCTTTGTGGGGTTTTTCTAGCTATGGTCATAAAGAGACTGTTACTTTCTGCTGCCAGGCTATTTCCCTCCTATCTCTGTGGCAAATAAACTTGGCTAACACTGGTTCTTCAATACAGCTGGAGAGATCTGGAGAAGAGCTGCAATATTTGTCCCTCTAAAAATAACTAGGATTGCAGCTTTTAAGTCTGTTTTCCTCTCTGCCTGCAAAATCCCATGTCTTGCCAGCGTGGGAGATTTCTAATGCAGGTCTCCAAATTTTTATATCCTTCATCCTTGTCTTTACACTGCAAAAAGTAATAGCCTGCCTCAATTCTTGTCTGCCAGCCAGCATCCACCAACATCAGGGCTCGCTGCTCTACAGTGAAGTCAGTGAATTTGTTCTGTGATTACAGAAGGATTTTCACTTGTTCCCATCAATTTATTTTGGGCTTTTGCTTGTGGTCCTTGAACATCAATCCAGTGCAGCTGTTTCTGACCACTGCAACCAACTGTGAAACCTGGGTGCTCTGCTAAATTAGTTTTTGAATTGTAGTGAGAGCATTTGTGCAGGTGTTTGAGATGCTGAAGTTTTTTTATTCTAGTTGTGGAAACTTAGCATTGCTTAGGTTTTATGTAGGAGGGCTTTGTCTGCGTGGGAGCACTTGCAAAGTTCATGTTCAGGAAGGATGAGGGGCACATGGATGCTGCCAGTCTTCAACTTTTGAGCAGCAGTGTGGGTGTGGGCAGGGCAGGCAGAGAGCATTCCAGCTGCTTGGGTATTGTTAATAATTTGATACACTGAATCATCCAGGTATTTTGAATTCCAGATGGAGGTCCCAAAATGGAGAGCGAGGCAGGTCAAGATGTTTTCTGTGTTCTGCAGGGAGATGGGTATGGGACTAAAATTGACTTTTATTTCTTTTATTCTGTTCTTTGTTTTGTTTTGTTTTCTCATCTCACACTGTACAGTTGTGGTTTTTTCCTATTTCTTATAAAAATAATGAAGAGCTGTGGTCACTGGACAGAGAAGAATATTAACCTGCCCGGTAATTGTTATGTGTGGCCAGTGTGTGAGGGTACGGTAACCTTCAGAGGAGACTTGCTTTCTCTGTGAAACCTGAGATACGGCCAAAGTGCTTCCCTAATGAAAATGGATGGAACTTACTTTTTTAGACTTAACTAATAAATAGCCTCGTCTTACCTCCCAACTCTAAGCTTCGTCTTTATTTTTTTATTCTCTTTAAGGTCAGTTCAGGTCTGTCTCCTCTCTTGTTTACGGTGGTGCTGGTGCCCTGACCAGGAGAAGGTTGGAAGGGTCACAGGGTGGACACGCAGCCAGGCATCAAGTCATACGTCCCCTCTGTCTTCCCACATGCTCTACTTTTGTTTTGGGAGAAGGCAGGAAAGCATTGAGAATTAGCGGAAACCTTGAGGCATGTCAGCCAGGGCAAGGAAGTTGAGGCAATATCAGAATAAATGCCTGGAAAGCGGCTTTGATCGGGTCTTCCCTAAGAGCCTGTGTGAGGAAAGGATGAGGCTCTTAGGCCTCAGGCTGATGGCTGGTACTAGTGCAGTCCCTGAAGCTGGTTCAGGTGTCATGATATTACAGGGCACGCACTAAATTACCAGGTTTGTTTTCAAGGGCTTGTGTTCACAACCAGTTCCTTGTTGCTGTCTGTTTCTGTGAGCTGGATCTGTCTTGTATTGCCATCTGCTCTGGACCAAACCCCTTTGGCCATGCTCTTTGCTGAAGGTTATGTTTGCTATCAGTGAGTGCAGATGGATGTCTGCTGTTTGGGATCAGATATTCTTCTGTCTAACCTTGAAATCTCCTGCATCATGAGTAGGTATCAGCCCCATTTTATTTCCTGGGATCCAGGCAGGGAGATTGAGGAACTGAAGCTAGTGTAAGTTTAGTGGCATGTGGCAGTCATCTTCCCCTTTTTGCTGTGTGGACAGAATCTGTGCTGGCTTCAGTTATGATTAAATCATCAGTATACCTGGGTCAAAATGTAACCACCTATTGTTTACATTAGTTTTTCAGTTGGAGTTGAATGTTTGATGCCATAGATCCCTTTGGGAATCCCAGCCTCAGCCATTCAGAAGTGTTCTTTGCTGCTTTCCGTTTCCTTCAAAACTCCACTGGGAGGGCTGTGCTGCACAGCAATGAAGAAAAAGTTGCTCTGACACAGTCTTATTTCTGGACAGTGGAGGTGATTAATGGATTCTGCCTGCTGCTTGTGTCCCAGCCATCCAGAAGCAAACCAGTGTGTTTGGCAGCACTTGAGCTGCCGAGCGTGATGCGTACATGCAGGGTGAGGGGGTCTCCAAGCTACCAGAGAGGTGCTGGGAGGAAAGTGCTGTGTTGTAACACGGCCGGGACCTGACAGAGCCTGGATGTTCGTACTGGCAAAGAGAACATCCCCAAGGACCTGCAGACACCGCTGCATCATAAGTGCATTTCTTCTTCCTGAAATAAGATAGACCTCAGCTGAACTGGCCTGTTGGAGATGCCACTTGTCCCAGCTGTTTGCAGAGGCATCTATTGAAAACCCCCTCCTTCCACGATTCTGTGGATGTTTTCCTTTGCAATGTCTTCTGAGGGCAGTGGAATTAAAGCAGATGTGGATCGTGTTTTATTGTTCCTGCAAGCAAAGATAGAAGCAAATTCAGTCAAGCTCATGTTCAGTTTGGAGGGCAAAAATCTCCCTTCTTCCCTCCTCCACGTGCTGCATGGCCTTCCTTGGCTTTGCGTCTTGCATCGCCTTTCTGGAGACTGAGCATGGAGGGCTGATCCTCCCTAGGGCCGTCCTGTTTCTGCATGCGTAGGAAGTCCCATGGCGTGATCAGGGACACTGGTCCTTGGCTGCAGCAAATGTTGGCCACGGGTTTTCAGGGAGCCTGTTTGCTGACTTGGCAGTGAAGCACTGATGCACCCACGGGGATGACAGTGCAGGGCAGAAAGGGAGCAAGGTGGGGGCTTATTGCAGTAGCTGTCAGAGGAGCAAAGCTTCCTGGGAGGAGCTGTGGTGGGCACGTATACAGCTGAAATGATTCCCTGCTGCCAGGCCTCTCGCAGAGCATGTGAGCTTAATAACAGCTTGGGCAGCAATGCCCGTGTTGAGTTAGTTGGGCATGGCTGAAGTCTGCCTGTCACCTCCTGGCCTGGGCGGGGGGGAAGGGGACCTGCTGTGTTTTGTCAAATCCCTGCCCAGCCGTTTAACTCTCTACACTGCCTTGTTTTGACTGATAGCACCAGGTTCTGCAAAGTACCTTTGTGAATTACCACTTTTTATATATATATTTTTTCTATATCCATAATTAGCGATGCTATCATCGTAATTAAAATCCTCTTGGAAGTGTTCATGCACATTTACATTTGAATTGACACATCCAAAACTGTAGTGATAATGAAAACAGTTTAAGTAGGGTGGGGGGAATATAGATTTTTTTTTTAATTTTATTTTTTTTTTAAAACCCATTGGCTATGAAAGAGAGTATCAGCTATGAGGGACCTGTTAAAGTTTTGATTTGCCCTCTCTGCTTCACTTTCCCTTTAATTTCTTCTCTTCGCTAAACAGTGTTTTCATGGCTGGCTGCATTTCTTGGTTTATCACAATAAACCACACTGAGGATAATGTAACTGCGCTGGGGGAGCAGAGTTGTCTCTTCCCCTTTTGCCCCCAGGACTTCTCTTTTTACATATAGACTCATACCTTTTTGAACATTATAAACCAACATAGCCCAGGGTTATTCCTGCCTGGCATGATGATTTCTTGGCAAAATACCATACTGATGGAGGGGAGTGTTTATTTTGGGTGACTCTGGGTTGAATTGAAGTGATGTGCACCTGTTTGCAATTCAAAGAACTCATCAATAGCCTGCCATATTATTTTAGGGGGTGGTAGCAAGTGGTTAGACTCAAAATAGTGTCCTCTAGAATAGAGCCACAGGAAAAAAAGAGGCCTGATTGAGAGGGGAATGATAAATCGTTGAAGGCTGGCAGCCATTGCAGCTTGAGAAACGTTGGGGTCAGAGGTGCGATAGATTTTGCTATTCCGGAAACAAAGCTCCGAATAGCAATTTCACTGCCTTTTAATTTTCTTCATCCTCGAGTGCTGAATGTGGGAGTTGACAACAGATTGCTGTAAATAATGTAATTGGAAATCTCTGTGTTATGGAAAAGCAGATGAATGCAAATAACGAAGCTGAAGAGCGCTTGCTCTTTCTCCCTGCCAGTGGTTTGCAGCGTGCCAGAGCCATGGTGGAGAGCTGGGACAAAGTGAGCGTGTGGGCCCGTGCTGCATGAGGGCAATGGCAATGAAGTCCTCCCTGGGTGGCTGCATTTGCAGGTGCCTTTCTCTTCATTAAGCATTGTAGCCCACGAGAACCTGCTCCCCCGCCTTTTGGCTGCTGAGGGGGATTGAGCCAATAATGCTGGTGTCGGCATGGGAAGCTGAAGGTAGCTGTTTTCCTCTTGCACAGCCCAGCCCCGGGCTGCTGTGAAGGAAGGGGGCTGCAGAATGAGAACAGCTACTGTGTGGCAATCGAGTGGGTGGTAGAGCAAAAGGCGGCTTTGCAGCGAAGATCCGTTCTGAGCATCTCTGTTTAGGGGATTTGTGGCTTGGCGTCACCAAGCTGGGTGAACTCTGGGGGGCGGCAAGCGTTTTTTATGTCCCTTCGTCACCAAGTCCTAATGTTTTCTTTGTTTAGGAGCTTGTTTTAGCACTTGTGTTCAAAGGAGGAGAAAGAGGAGGGACAAGTTTGAGCAGTAACATGTGTTTCACCAGGGCCCAGTGATTCTGCGTTAGGTCCCATTTATGGGCTGCACTTGGATGTGCTAGATAAAAATACGCATCTGCTTCTGACTGTCTCATCCTGTAGCTATAATGATGGCTTGATACAACTTTATTAGGCACATTATCAGGGCTGTAAAAGGCATTGAGCGCTCTGGGCTTGTCATGCCCATGGCTGTTAAATTGTTTTGAAGTAATGAAAAAAGGAGTCTGTTGCTAAAGTAGCTCTTCTCCCTTGTGTCCTCCCCCACTTTTCTTTAGGGTAGTTTAGGTGTCAGGGGAAGCAGAAGGACAGGAGCCTGAAGGAAGTCAATATTTAGTGTGGATTTTGGTTGTGTATGGCTGGGCCAGTTTGAGCACAGTGGGCTGGGGACCCCTGCAGCCGGTGAACTGTGGTGTGCCTGCTCTGTCCTGAGCCACGCACTGGGCCACCACATCCTGATCTGGGATAATGCAGATACAGATCTTTACTCCTCTCTGTCAGGCACTCAGAGCAAGGGATGATCTATGTTACTTAAAATTGGGTTGTTGCAAGAGACTGGAAGCAGCTGGCTGTCCCTCGTGCTGATGAAATTCTAACTCCACCCAAACTCAGGCTGCTGTGGGGGCTGGATTTCGTCTTAGGTGCCAATGGGACTAGCAGGAGCAAAACTCTCTCCTCCTTGGAAGCAGCAAAATCCTGCTAATAAACAGGAGTTTTATTCTTGAAGCACTGTTATAGATTTATTAATTTAAAATCAAGCAAGAACTTTGCTGTCAGGCCACTCTTGCAATCAATGAAACTACCATCGATAGCCGTCAGCAACATCGATTTGTTTTGATGCATGGACGCTAAAACTAACCTGTGTGCCCGCCTGCAGAATAGAACGTGAACCGTGGTCGTTTCGGTTGGGGCATGCTGGTAACCCTCGGGGAGCAGAGGTACTGAGTCAATATAGAGGAGAGCATCTTCCTGCAGCTATTTTAGAGCTGATCTCAAAACAATTTCAGTACTGCTGTAATGAGACCAAACTCTTATTATTAGAAGCACCAATTTAAAGTGAATGTGTATGCATAGAATCAATTTTATACTAGTATTACTACATCACAGCTGGGTGTATCATATCATTAACTCTTTCTATAACTGGACTTGCTTTGGCGTAGTGAGAAACCTGGGAGTGACCAGCCTTTTCTTACAGCAATCCTTGCTGTGTCTGATTGGTTTTATGGTGTGCCTCAGTTGTAGCTCACCTGAAGATAATAGGTCTCTTCAGTGCTTCAAATTAAATTACAGATGTTGCAAGGTCTGTTCAGAGAACGACTGTAAGAAAGGGTTGCTTCCTCCCTGGCTGTTTGTGTGGGGAAGCTACGTGTGCCCCAGTGTGGCAGGGGATGGGCAACCTCCTGGTGCTGATCAGGATGCAAACCCCATGGCTGCAGCAGTCCCGGTTCTGCCCGCTGTGTCCTGCGTGTGCAGCTGCTCCCAAGGCCTCCTGCCTCCCTGAGACAAGGGAGACAAGGGCTTGCCCAGCCTGCAGCTCCGGCATTGTGTGTGTTTACCTGACTTGCAGTGGGCTAAGCTGCGTGTAGAGACGTCTGTCCCAGATTTAAAAAACCTGCATTTCCCAGTTCTTGGTTTTGCGGGAACAGCAGAGCACGTTCCTCCAGGGTCTCTGTGCTGCACTGACGTGTGCTGTTGTACATGCTGTACCAAATGCTGCGCAATCCCTACGTGCTAGCAGCGGGCACAGAAGGAGCTGTGTCAGCTTGTGCCTGAATGGGTCACTGTTTTGGCTGTTTGCATGCTGATGGAGGAGCTGGTAAAGTGTCCTGCCTGCCAAGGCCCCCTCTGTAGAAGAAGAACTTGCAGTCTTCTCTCTTTCAATGGATTGGCTTACTAGCTTTTCACTTGGATGGCAGACTCACCATCCTGCTGGGCTGTTACCCAGCAGAAAAATGTTGGTGTAACTGCAGGGTGCTCTCACCTCTTTTTTTCTAGATCCTGCTGTGGTGCACACAAGCATCTCTTGCACTCTTACAGTAACTGATGTGTATGCTGTGTCACAGTGATGCTGTGCTTTCTGCTGCTGGCTGCTCTTCCTTTAAAAAGCATACCACCAGGTTCCCCTGTGAATTCAGATTGCCGTCACTTGGCTTTCAAGACCCCAGCACAGAGATTTCAGTCCTCTGTGTTGGTGGCTCTGGATGAGGAACTGGGCAACCTGCTGAGCAATCTCCTCCCATCAGTGAAATGGTGATGGTGGTGTCCTGCTTTATGTGCCTGTGTGAGAAGAACGTCTCATGAGTGCCAGGTGTTGTCACTGCCCTCTGCTTTGATTAAGCCCTAAATGCAAATTGCAAACGTATTACTGTAATTAGGGATATCTGCATTTACATGCATTGCCATCATGGTGATACTATATGCAAAATGCTTTTGAGAACTTGGGAGTAGAAACACTGATGATCTCCTTCACTCTGAACAGAAGTGCAAGGTTTCTACCCCCTTGCACAAAATAGAAAATTATATTTTTACGATATTAACTTATTTTTGCCCTGGCCTTCTCATTAGCTCATTATTAGACTGCTGGAAGGCACAAAAGAATTAGGTTTTTAGAGGCCATTTCTCCTTGTCTAAGCTGCCATCCTTTTCACTTCCTCTGGCTCACAGCAGGCATTATATTAAATATATTTAATAAAGCTCCTTCATCATAAGCTGCATTAAAACTAAATTGGAGAGTAGAGGGTGTTCTTACAGGAGATACTACAGTTTAGCACTCACAGTCTATTTTGTGCTGCAGGTTCAGGTTATTTGAGTGTCGTTCTTCTCATCTGGGGTTTTTGAGCACGCTCATTAAATGATCTGGCTTAGCCTGAATCGCTCTGTGAAACGAACGACAAGGTTGTGCCATTTGGTATGGCATGAGGCAGCATTTCTGCTGTCCTGGCATTGCCGCTGGCATCCCCCAGCTGCTGCCAATCTTTGACTGTCTCAGAAGTAAAGCAACCCAGGCTGAGGGACCCGGCCCAGGAGAGGAGAGACTTGTCAGGGCTTGCTGCCCCTCCAGCCAGTGCAAGACTTGTTTCACTGTAAGCAGAGCATGTGCTTGGGGCTGTTGTCACCCTTGGCAGGTGCCTGCCCTCTCCAGGAAGCTTTTCTTTTTGTGCGTTCCCAATGGAGAAGCAACAGATGCAGAATCTGAACTGCCTGCTGCTTAGTGCAGGCCAGGGAACTTCATCTCAGTATCCTTGGAGTAAGCCTGGGAATGTGTGTTTGACTCAAGCACAGCATCAGAGAAACAGCTAGTCTTGACCTGGGGAACGTAAGAAGGTCCATGGTTTACATGATCACCCTCTGCACCTCCTTCAATCTGTGCCTGCTGCTCATTCAAATTTGTGATTTTTCTTTTTTGGTGGTGGAAGAAGGACGGAGGTGAAGCTGGGCTGACAAGGTGTGGGGAGGAATTTGGGGTGCTGCGGTAGTTGCAGAGTGCAGGGGAACCGTTGGCGTCTGTGAGCTGGAAGGCTTGACCCAAGTGTGAGCGGGGTCAAACTCGGAGTGGCTGGGCTGAGCTTGGTGGGGAGCTCGTTTGGTGCTGGCTGTGCTCTATTGCTGTAAAAACCCAGTCTTAAGGTGTTGCATCTGTGTCTCCTAACAGGTTTGGAAGAGGTCTGGTGCATGGTTCTACAAAGGACTGCCCAAGTACATCGTGCCTTTGAAGAGCAGCAGCAAATCCAGTGAGCTGCCCTCGCAGCCTTGGCAAAGCGAGCCAGCCGTGCCGGAGGCAGAGAGCGTTGGGACCAGCCGATCCTTCACCTGGGCCAGGGGAAAAGGTTGGTTGTCTGCTCCGTGCTCAGGAAGCAGGTGGGGAGAAGGACCTGGCTTCTGCTGTTGCTAGCAGGATTCAGCTAATAGGGGAGGCTCTCTGTTAGGTAAGGGGTAGCCCACATAGTAGCCCACACAGTGTTTCCCATGTGGGCAGTGTGGTGGTTTTTTTGTGCTATGGCATGTTTTCCAGGTTTCGGTGTTATTGAAGTGCACACTGGTGGCTCAGACTAGCACCGATCGTTCTGGACTCCCTGGCTTTCAGTCCAACCTGGCTTTCCTCCATTCCTTGCAGCCCCTGCTGTTTTGCTGACTCTGCCAAGGGAGGGATGAGCCGTGAAGCAGACACCTGTCTGCAGTCGGAGCCCAAAGAGCTCCTAATAGGATGATGCCACTGGTGAACCTCGTTGTGCAGCCAAGGCTGACAAAAGGCTGGTCTCATTCCCTCCCTCCTTGGGGCTGCTTGCTCCTTGCTTCTGCTGCTCTACAGAGCACCATTGCGCCGATACCTCAAGTCACTTTGGGTTAGAAATTACACCTCCAGCATCTCCCTGGGGTCTTCCTGGGGCCTGGAGCAAGTGGACAGAGATACTCTTTGACAGTCAGTGGGCAGGAGCAAGCTCATGCTGGCTGTGTCCTTTTGTGCCTGACC